TTAGGGGTTTTAGGGTTTTCCTTTGGATACTTTCTAATTTGGCATTAGCCATCATCTTCAGAACTGAATAAATTTTCTCTTGAATAAATTTTATCTTTGAGGAAGTCCTCGTGACAATGCTTTCTTGAAAGGAGTCCTCGTGGTAAGGCTTCTTTGTTTTCACCGTTGCGTCAGTACCGCACATCAAACTCACCGCCCGGCAAATGAATTGTACCAGAGTACCAGTAAACTGCCACACTTGGGTCCTAGCTGCCATAGTTCCCAGCTCGTATGCCACTTAACTAATGTTTCTCAACACATGATCAACAGTTATATATATAGCACTAACCTTCACATTGCCCAGGGAGGATATAAACTAATCACAAATAACCTTAAAAGAAATGAAGGTTTAATTTGTGTATGAAATTTTAGTTTGTTGCACTAATTAACAAGTATCTTTGCAGTGTAGGGAGGGGGAAAAAATGCAAGCAGCATAAACTTGTCCCAGTTTTCGTTTATTAGACAATGGCAGTGCTCACGATCCCACGTATCGATCCATAACTATATATATATATATATATATATACATCACAACTTAAAACAGCAAAAATACGTATAAAAGAGGAAATGGTATATATAGTAAATACCTGCACAGATACGGGTCATAAAAATCTGCAGCAGTGGAATTTGAGTGGTCCCCTCCAGCTATCGGATCGAGGGTTAAATCACAACTTTTGCATCAGAAAGGCCTTTTACGTACTAATAATCCTTTTTGGATTTCAGGGTTTGAATCTTAACAGTGCTAAAAGTTTGGGAGTAAAAATGAGTGTTCCAAGCACTGCTCATGCACAGGTCCAAACTCCAAGTAAATAAGTAAATGAATAAATAATAACAGTGGTTGTGTAATGGTAGGGATAAGGGAAATCGGTTAAAGAAAAGGGCTAAGTTGGTTAACCCTTTACAAAAGGTTAAAAATAATTTAATTTCGTTTAGATTTGATGGTAATATTTGGCGAATAAACAAGGGTTAAGGATGCTAGTCGTCCAAATATTCTAAACTATATATTTTTTTTTTCTAAAGTTTTATTTCTTAATTTGAGAGGAAGTGATTATTAATCCTCCTCTTTAGGCAGATTTATTAATCCCGCTAATTGAAGGACTGACTGACTTTTAACTCCGGTAAAGGGTTTGTTAACCCTTTGACCGAATTAATCCAGTTGGATTATTAACCCACTTAAAAAGGGACCGTACAGATTACTCAATTAAAGTCCACGGTATTGTAAATTTCCTATACCTTATATTTATATAATTTCTAACAAATTAAATAGTTTGGTCAAGTGGGCTTAAGTAGCCGTTTTAAGATTTGTTTTAAATAGACGTGTATGAGTGCAAATCCCATGTCTGTTAATCTAGTTTATTTCCTTATTTTATTTTAGTAAACTTTTGGAACTCTCATACGAGATTTCGAAATCAACATTTAAAGGAAAAAATTGAAAAGTGAATACAAATTAAATTGCCAATTGTGAGACGCGCACTACCTTACAAGAAGGCTAAAAGAATATAATCTAAAACTCTTAACCTTGTGTGATATTTGTTGAAATCTAAGAAGAAATATTATATATGGGATGTCAACCCCATAAAAGTAATGACTTTTGTTAATTACACGGGATTGTGAATCCCGTACGGATTAATTACTAAACTCTACAAGATTTCTAATCCTATAAATTTTGTAAAACATTATTTTTGAAAATCGACATAATTTCAACGCACGATGCTTACATGCTGAAATTAGGTTGATTTCGATAAATACTTTTAGAATATGTCGAAAATAATTATTATTTTTATAAAATGGTTTATTTTAAAAAATTCTCCCAAACTAATTAATAATAATAACAAGTGTTATGCCCCTCGGGTGGATCTGCTTTTTTTCTTTTTTTTTTTTTGACTAAAGTTAAGGTGAGGATTGAGAGAATAAAACAATATGGGAGGAGAATTTACAATTATCATGATTTAGGAAAATTTTAAAAATATCTAATATTTGGGGGGCATATAATGAAAAAACCCAAAATGAAACTATGAGTAAATTTAAACTCCTAACAAGTTTAGCTGTTTGGAACAAAATCCCCAATATCTTTAAAATTCTCATCAAACGCCCCAAAACTTTTGGCAAAAAAATCCTCAATAAATTTTTACAAAAATCCCAACAAATTTACTTTTTTTCACTCAACCGCCAACATTTCTTTTTTCCAAGAAATCCCCCAATAGCAAATGTTAGACTTTTTGAAAATTTTCAGTCTTCTTGGAAATTTTTAAAAATTTTAGGAGATTTTTTGTAATTTTTTGCATTTAAAGGGGGCCATTTATAACTTTGGATTTTTAGGGGGAGAGGTGTTAGTAATGTTTAAATTTTAGGGGTTTTTGTAACTTTTTTATGTTTCTTTGCAACCTTTTACTTTAGAGGATATGTTTATAATTTTTAGATTTTTATGGATTGTTTGCATATGTAAATTTTTCTTAGTGTTATTTGAAAAAAAAATAATTTTATGATTTTCTTCCAATTTTCATATTTTTGCATTTACAGGAGATTCTTTCTATTTTTTTTTGGGTTTTTCAAAAGGTTGTTTGTTATGACTTTTTTTGGGCCAGTTTTCTCTGTGTGTGTGTGTGGGTGGGTGGGTGGGGTGGGGTGGGGGGAGTTATTTATTGTTTAGAAATTTTAGAGTCGTGATACAATATTTAGATTTTTTAAGGTTTTTTGCAACCTCATATTTTTACGGTCTATATATAATTTCTTTTTAATTTTTCATGGGCTTGTTTGTAATATACTAATTTGTCAAGGGATTTTCTATAATGTTTAAGAATATGAATGTTTTTTTGTAACTTTAGAATTTTTCAACACATTATTTGTAATTTTAGATTTTTAAGAAGATATTTGTAATTTTCGTATTTTTCAAGATTGTTTGTAATTTTATGGAGGTTAAGTGAACAAAGTCAAAAAGTTTAGGGGGCTTTTTGAGATTCTCAAACTTACTCGAGATTTTGTAAGAGTTGCAAATATTTTGGGGGGGTTATGCTATATGCCAATATTATGGGTGGTTTATTGAAATTTAGCCTTTGGGAAAATAAGGAGGGCCACATAACAAAATTTTTAGGTCTTTAATTATGAGTAACTATAATCTAATTATAATTAACAAAGATTTGATTATTAGAATTTTCTATTTTTACGGATAGAATTTTTCTAATTATGGATATGAATAGTGTATTTTAATGAGAATTTTTAAGAAAAATAGACTTAGTAGTACACTTGTCATGTTCTACTAGGATAACGGGACACATGTTGCGTTTTTTTTTGCACATGGTGCTTTTTGGTGACTTTAGTGATAACTCACTAATTTTAATTTTCATATTTTTACGGTTGTCTGTAATTTTAATTTTATGGAGGTTGAGTTTCAAAACTAAAAAAAGTTAGTCGGTTTTCTAAAATTATCAAAACTTCTTTGAGATTTAGTGACAGTTGCGCATAGTTTGGGGGTTTAGTGTTATGTGTCAAAATAATGAGTGGTTTATTCAAATTAAACCTTTAGCAAATAAGGAGGATTACGTAACATTTTTTGTTTGTTCTTTAATTATAGATAGTCATAATTTAATTAGAATATTATTAAAAATTTCTATTTTATGAACAAAAATTTCTAATTATTGATACGAATAGTTTTAATTTAACGAGCTCTCTTAAAACAATAGAGTTAGTTGTATACATGCGATGCTTTGGGATTTGACGTGACATTTTTTCATACACGTAACATTTTTAGTACATTTAGGAATAGCTTACTAATTTCTGTTTATTATATAAAAGAGAACAATAAATAGTAGCAATAGTACAGGGAATAATAAATACTAACAATAGTCTACTAATTTCTCTTTATGATGTAAAAGAGAATAATAAATAGTAACAATAGTACAGGGAATAGAGTAATGATTGACCGAGAACCAGGCCCGAAGTCCCGGTAACCATTAAGTACATGTATAACAACTTTCTAATCTTTCATTTATTTATTCAATTAATCATTATTATTCTTTACCTTCAGGATAAGCATGACGACGCAAGCTCCACTTTAGATTTTTTTTTAAAAAATCTAAAGTGGACCCCGTGCACTGTAGCTGAGAGAGGGGGTGTGCCCCAAGGTGTGGTTGGGAGTGTGTCTGTAGTGTTTTCCTAAACTATTTTGTTGCCAGGACAAAAAAGAAATATTTCTACTATTAGGGACTGTTTGGTTCAATTTCTATAAAAAAGAAAAAGAAAAAGGATAAGTGTTCAAAATTTTATTTTCTTGTATTTCTATAAAAATTTATAGGAATAATTTATAAAACTTATAAGTACTATCTTTTTTATTTTTTGCTATTTCTTTATTTGGTTCAAAACATGGAAAAAAAAATTCTAACTTTACAGAAAATACGTTGCTTTTTTTTGGTTAGATATCACTCTATAAAAAATAAATTCGGCTCCCCCCATGAAAAATCATATGGGAGTGCAGAAATGGGTTATGGATATACTTAATTATTTTTAATGTAAATGTAATTTCGTGAGGAAGTTAATTTCTATAAAATACCTTATTTTTCCTTAATTTATAGAAAACGTTTCTATAAATTTTTTTGAACCAAATATAACTTAAAAAAATCTATAGAAATCTATTATTTACAAAAATATCATTGTAAGATGTTCTCCCAAAACTTTTCTATAAAAAGACCAAAACTTTTCTATAAAATGAGCGAACCAAGCACCCCCTAACTCAACACTAGGACAAGAGGTGAATCTGAACCTCCGGTCGTATTTAAAGTCACATCTCCTACTGATCTGATTCCTAATAACAACTCCTAACCCCAGGACTAGCCGCCTTCGCCTTTGCGTTTGTAAATTTGAACAAAACATTAAGAATCCCGCATTCATATGACAAAAACAGTTGGGAGTTTTAATCTAATACAAACTCTTAGAAAACAGCGGTGGTCAGTTATGCATTCAGATAACGATACGATAAAAAATGCACCATCACCATTCACTCGGAAATAATGTATCAATACAGAGTAGAAGGATTTATTGGAGCAACCACACACACTCTTATTCAACGTACATCCAACTTCAGGCACTCACATAGTCCACAGCACAAGGTATGCAAGGCAACAGGATGCTCTTCCTCGGATCATTTGAATAATGGGAGATTGCCCCAGTAGGATACAGAAACTTTACACAGACAAAGCACAAGTAACATGGCTAAAGAATCTTTTAATCTGCTACGGAATCATCTAGCAAAACCTAAATGTGCCTATTGGGTTATGTTACAAATATCGGCTATAGTACAAACAAGTCTGCAACCATCAAGCGCACGTCTGGTTACCTGCCTCTAGTTCTTGGTTTCTTGCAGTAGAAGCATTCTGTTCTTCAATCATATATAAATCGGTTTGACGTCATTTTGCCCAAAACTGACACCACATGATGGACACTTACGATGGCGACTCTCAAGGGTTCTTTGAACACATTGGCTACAGAACAGATGGTAGCATTTGGCAATAACAACCTGCAACCGATGAGAGCAACATTATACGGAAATCTACATATGTCCTAAGCAACAAGCTAATATGCAACATGCATCCAATTGCGTGTTCATAAATTCATTAAAAATGTAGATCTTAAAACTCCATATATGTGATATTCCTCCAGATAAATGGATTATAAATGCTGAAGAATGTTCGATGATATGTTGCTGATGTTTTACCTCCTTCTGACGGTCATGGCAGATACGGCACTTTAGTATTCCCCTGTATTCTGTGACTTCTTGTTTAAGTTTTCCTAAGGCTGTTGAGCTCTGAATTTTTTCCCGGAGGCATTCAGCTTTCCTCCTCATGACGTCACACTCCTCTTCCAACCTCCTCTTGTTAAACCTTAGAAACCAAAAATAAGTGTGAGGTTTAGAAATCTTTAGGTATCATCAGAGGCTACAAAAGAACAGGAAAAAAAAAGTGTTGTAAGATGATCTCACCTTTCCTTCTCTAGTTCTATTAGGAGCTCAGTGACATCCAGTCTACTTTTTGCTGCTTTTGCTTGCCTTTCACCCAATGATTTTGCTGTTTGCTGATATTCTCTCTCTACATCTGTTACCCTTCTTTGGTTGTCTCCTAAACTAGATGACTTCTGCCAAATATCCTCTACAAGTCTTCCAATCTGATCCGACCAAATTTTCAACTGTAACAAAGGAAGCCGAGTTACTCTCATGAGACTGTTTAATCTCTATGGAAATTCTGGAAAACAAAACCTACCTGGTCATCAATCCGCTCAACCTTCTGATTGAACAAATCTAGGAACAAATTCGCAAGTTTTATTTTTTTGTCCATTACGTATACTTCACTGCACAACACATCATGCTGCTGACGTGCTTTTATACCCTCCATAACTAGCTGGAAAAAGAGTGAGTAGAGTGAGGGATTCTCCCAAAAAAAATTAATTCATTAATAAAAATTAAAAAAAATTCAAGCATTATCTAGTTAAGGCTACACAAAGGAAGACAACCCAAGGTAGAGGCTCGTGCATGTATCAGTAACACAACCGCGTCAGTAACACGACCCTCAAAATATTTAATAATTAATGAATGTTAACCTAATAAACGTTTTACAACATTTCAAGTCATGTGGCTCATGCCATACAATACAAGAACCTGAAGTTACTGACTAAAGAAACCCGGTGTCAAGAAAATTTAACAGAAATGTACCCTAACCTCCTGATATACTCCTAACTGCATATCCACCTCTCTGGCACTATGAGATGGTTCCTCACGACGTGGTCTGAATATGCCAGGCATTATTGCCTCGCGCTACCAAAAGGTGATGTATCTCAGTGCATGTTGGAAATTGCAAGGTGCTGAAGGCATCACAGCTGAACACAGATGCGCATAAGGCGGGCATCTAACGCGCTAAAAAGCGGCGAGGTACTCACCTAAGACATGTGAGGTGCGACATGAAAGACGCGTCCCTATTTTGAATCTATAGGGCAATTCAGACCTATCTTTATCTGTTAGTTTACTTTTAAGTGTACTCCATTTAAGTATGTTGCATTCAAAAAAAATAAAAATATTAGCGAATATAGCAAACCAATGTAGAGCTTATTAAGGATTATGAGTATATGACTCTTCAATCCTCTTAGTTTTTCTTTTTCATCCTTAACTTTTGATGGCCACCTTGAACCATTGGCAGCAACTGCGACTACTACTTAGATCATTGGTGATTGCTCGGAAGGTAAACTTTGTTTTTATATTTCTATTTCCCATTTGTATTTGGTTTTTCCTCATAACTTGCCTATTATATTGTTTTCACTTTTGAGGACGTGTCAATAATGAAACTTGGAAGTTCAGAGTTTATGCTTATGACTTCGAACGTTCAATTGTGATTCATATAGTTCTTGTTGTGATTTATTGACAGTCTTTAATTACTATTTTTACTTTTTATGAATTTGATCTTTTATATCTTGTTTCACTCAGATGATCATCTTTTTGGTACCTCTCACCTCAGGCGAAATAGGATCATGTCACATTGACCTTGCTGTTCGTCTTTAAACATTGTGCCCTCATCTTATCCTTAATCAAAGCTTCTGTAAGTTAACAAAATGATTAATTATCATGTCCCAGAAGTGCATTCTCTCCTATTTTCTAAACAATCTCCTTTCATACACAGTTCTGAACATTTTCCACTAGCCACCATTTGACCAGAGCATGGGTCGCCTTGTGTTATAAACAATTTCGACTGGAGAAAATTACTACTTGTAAAGAACTCCACATTTTCAAGCTCATATAGCTATAGATCAAATAGTAATTACATTTTAATACTCCCAAAAAAATGACACAACACGCACAGTCACAAATATAGATACATAATCATAAATATAGACATATTTGCATATACATGGGTGAGTCATATCTACATATATCGATATGTGTTGTGTTAAAACAAATTAGACATAAGTGTGTGATAAATACATACATCTACATAGGAATTTTTTTTCTCTTTCTTTTTTTTTATTTTTTATTTTTTATTTTTTATTTTTTATTTTGGGGGGGGGTCATTTTGCTAAATGAATTACCAAG